ATGAATTAATGATAGAGAGAGAAGACGAAAGAAAGCCATTAATGCTCATCATCGGCTTTAACCTTTGCCCTGAACTCCATATCCGCAATTCCAATAGCTTGTTGGGTGGACGTGCCTCCCTGTCCACACCCTGGACACCTCAAACTCAGTTCCACACCTTTCTCCTTGCCGGTTTCTCCTTCAGCCTTCATCTTGGTGACACCGTCAGTTCTTTTCAGATCTAGGTTAGAAATTTTCCTGCTTTTTCCCATTTTCGGTTCTCTCTCATTCCCGTATTTCAAAGCAAATTGGAAACTATGTCCAGGAACTTGCACAACTATATTGCCCTTCATAGGTTAATTTTCCTTCCCCTTTCTCCCAATGTCCTCTGCCACCCAAATGGTATATGGACACTAGAAATAATTGAGAGAATATTCAGAAGACATTGTAAAGACTTTTGCTCCGGTTTCATTCCCTGTAATATCTTGCCTCTCAAAATCTATCTTTTATTCCAACATTCAAGTCATTTTAAACACAAATTAGAGCAAGCAGCCCTCTGTGCTGAGAGTGTCAGTGGGTCCTCACTGAATTCCAAGGGCTGTCTTTCCAGCCTTGTTTCTACTACACGTTCTCTCCTTTTAGCAACACACACCACAGTCCCTCCCCAATGTACTTACAGTATTATCCAGGCCCCAAATCTTACAGTTGTCCAAGTCCTACTCATCCTTCTAAGTAAACTCCTGAGTCCCCAATACTACAAAATCCTCTCCTATGATCCCGTATGGATATACATGCCAGTTTTTTAGTTTCTTACAGCATGTTGTTCTTTTCTCTCTTTTTTTAATGCTTCCTTGATGCAGACGTATTTATCTGCACGCTTTTCTGCCAGAAGAGATTGTACACTGCCTCAGAGCAGAATGATTTTTACCACATTTTCCTCTGCCTTGGTGACTAGACAAATACTTTGCGTATAGGAAATATTCATCTGTATTTGTTGATTTAGCTAATCGGATGCTAATTTGAGCAGGTTGAAATGTGTGGAATGCTAGTTGCTTTGTTTTAGCTTGGGTTCTATTTCTTTAGCATCACTCAATTGTGGGTTCTACTTCCTTGATTATTGGGCATGTGTGAAAATTCATGTTTTGTGTGAACCTTTTTTGCATCAGAATTTATAGTATTTGCCATTTGGGTAATAAAATTTCCTCTGCTGTGCTTTTATGGAAGTGTTTGGCTAAATGTGTAAGTTATGGAATTTTGTGCTTCAACTGGCCAGATGGTAGTTCATCAAGGTAGTATCAACAATTTCCTTGATAGTTGGTACTTTGGCTCATGAGTTGGATGTCTTTCTCTGTGATATGAAATACTCTATTTTATTGGTTGTGATTACATAAATGCTTTGGAATATCTAGCACCTAGGGCATTCTGGAACTGAATCCTCTCTGGGATCATAATAATTTAGTAAAGTAAAAATAGATTTGCAAAGCACTTCCCAGTTTACAAATCTCTTTTATATACACGGTCTCATGAAGCCCCTGCAGCAAGTGGCATATATAAAGTGATGCTTTGTCACAGAAATAACAGTCCTCTGCATGTGCCGAAGCATAGTTTCCAATCCCAGTCGCCCACTGGCTCCCATAGTCACTAGCTGTGCTTCCTCCCCTCTCTGCACTTGAGTGTTTCCTCTTGAAAATGTAAGCATAATAGCACCTACTTTTACATACTCCTAGATTTGTCATGATGAGGCTCTACTGAGCAGATAGTTCTAAAAGTGCTCCATAATCTGTAAAGATTCTAGGTACTAGGTTAAGTAAAAAAAAAAAAAAAAAAAAATTGCTATCTTCATGCCAAACAATGACATATATGATTAGCTCTCTCAACCTATTTCTTTTTCTCTGAAATTTAACGTTTTCTTCTTTGGGCTTGAAGCAGTAGCCTAGGAATACAAGATTTCAAACAGTCTATCATCCTAACACTTGAAAGACTAATAATACACTTGCTAAAAATACTAACTTTGGTTACTGTTCTGGGTAGTGTTAGGCAATATATGATCACAGCACTTCCAGATGTGATAGGTAATAATTCCAAAGCAGTTTTCTGCTGGTGTTATCATTTCTCTCACATTCTCTTCTCTCATGGAAGAGAGATGTAGGGTTCTTGCTTTTTGGCAAACCTTTTTTATTGCTTGGAGAATCAGGAAGTGTTTTATTCTATATGAAGTGCAAAAGAAATAGCTGTCATTTCCCCCTCTTCTTTTTAGCTTTTGTTGAAATCCTTTTTTTATTGGCTAGAGTACTATAAAGAATAGAGTTTTGGCAAATTCCTCCTGCAAAGATTTATTCAGATGATTGCATCTGAGCTATTCTTGTCAGGTGGATTTTATAGAGAATTATTGAAAGAAAAATTGGCGATCACTAATAACATTTTGAGATATACCTTTAGACACTGCTGATTACTAACAATTGGAAATGAGGCAAGCGTGCAATTATAGAACTTTAAATGAATTGCATGTACCGATGCAAGACTTGGCAGACAGAGATGCTGGATTAATAGGAAGACAAGTGTGTTATGTATTACTTCTATTAGTGTTTCAGAAATATGCCTGTTTTTGTAAATGATATTTGTTTTATGTAAGATATTTGATCATTCCACAAGCTGTCAGGACCATGGTTGTGTGGAATTACGGAGATCTCAAAGGATTGAGACTTTTTGTGCAGTGATACCTATAGTTGTGAAAATGCAATGAGGTACACATGTAGCAGCATATTTTATAACTTACATTTTAGTAATGACAGAAGGCAAGAATTGCATAGTTACGACATTTTGAGACATTGTTAGCCACACAGAATTTAACAGTTTCTTTATGGAATAAATGATGGTTGGATGTTTCTTGTCTGCAGTGACAAATGCTTACCTTGCAAACAGCTGAGTCTGTGCCCATGAACAATCCCAGGATCTTGGGGAGTGGTCCTGCTATCTCACAGGACACTTCTTGGACTGAACAAAATCTCAAGGTATTTTGAAGAGTGCCATTCATTAATTTCAAATGGTCTTCAGGAAGAATTAAGTCTAAGCATACGTATTAAATAACTGCTAAACTGTTTTGCCTAGGAGTCAATGTCTACCCAAAAAAAAAAAAAAGAGCTCTGGGGATAAAGCAATGATATAGCCTTTGGAAACAAAACTAACCCTTTAAGGAACTCATCAAATATGTAAGGTAGACAAATGTTTAAACAATGTTTGATTGATATTAGAAAAATGGCATTCTTTTAAAATTGTTAAATTGTTGAAAAATTGTACATTTGTTTCTGGCGTGCTTGGGAGAGATAACACTAAAACTTGGGACAAGCTCATAGAAGTCTTGGGAAAGAATTATTAAAGAGCTCAAGTTTATTGCTTTTGATTAAAATTATTAGAAATGAATTGTTCACATGCCACATTACTGAACACAGTATCTACAATGTTCTCATAAAAATATTTTTTCCTAACGAAACTTACATGAAGCAAGAAAGAGACATTACAGACTCTATGGATTTGATTGCAGTTCTTTTTAAAGTTTAGTAAGCATCAAAACTTCTAGTAGAACTTGTGAGAAGAGATTCCCAGTCCTGCTCCCAGAGAATCTGACTCTGCAGGTTGAGAGAGAGGCCCATGAGTTTGCGTTTCTAATAAACTCCAAGGGGCAGGGAGCATAATATTTGTCATTGGTCATACTTTGAGTAGTATTGCTGGAAAGGATTGACAGTTGATATAGGGGCTGTTGTTTTCACATACATCTTTGATTAAAAATTGGCAATGAATATTTGAAAATTAAGTTCCATCATAGAGTCTTCCAATGTATCTTCCAACTATATCTGTATTTTAAAACAGGGAGGAGGTTACTAGGAAACAGAGTGAAGAAATAGTACCTGTATAGCATATGTCCTGTATACCATATAGCAACAGTAAGATTTTCATCTTACTGTTTTCCCTCAGGGCTCCTCCCTGTGACCTGGGCAGAACACTGGCCCAGTTTTAACTGCATGGGGGGGAGGCGTCCTACTTCATCTATGCTATGAATTCTATATTATACGTGTTTGAAATTTAACTGAGAATTTCTATCCTAATTGGAAAATTTATCAACAATGAAATAAAAATAATATAGATAAAATAATCACGAGCTCATGAAAGCCAGGGCTATGCCTATATTTAAATGACTTACATTTGACTATGCATGACTATTAATTTTTACTAATTAAAACTTTCATTAAAATAACATTTTGAGAATCAAATATCCATGCATATCAATGTAACATTTTTTCAACCATGAGGGATGGTGTTATCATACACACACATGCACATACCATATGTATACACATACTATATATACCTTAGATATAGTATATATGGTAATAAACTATATGTTTGTTTATTCAACAATCTTATTGAATATTATAATTATTACTGAACAATGGAGACTGGCTAGTGTGTTCAATTTGTCTGAATATATAAAGTAGTAACTTAGGGGTGTGTGTTTAAGTGAACTTTACTTTCTGTTATGAAACTCTCATGTGAGAATCTAGCATTTAGATCTGTTGCATATATTTTAATGGAGCGATTAAACTGGATGAATGCTAATGCTGTTGGACCCATTGAGGCGAAACATAAATAACAACAATATATGTGTACGTTTAGTACAATGCATTTTCACTTAATCACTTGGAGAAGAGTGTACAAAAAATAGCCCTATGTTGCCAACTAAAAGCAAGTTAATATTAAATTTTTTATGAGAAAAATATTTCATCTGAACAACCTTTAAAATTATTTCTTATTGCTTAAAAAATAGTGTCTTACCCCAATTCTTCTGCCTTATAGTGAAATCATCTATAGTATATCCAGTTAAAATGATCAGCTGACAGCTGGATCATCAACTAACTAGGGAAAGCAGGCGCTGAAAAGCAAGCACCACAGGTGAATTCTTTTTGTTTTCCTCTTGGCTCTGCTTCTTAGCCATGTTTTATTTATGTTTACTGTTCCTGTCTTCCAGTGCTTGGAGCCGTGCAAGGAATCGGGGGACCTGAGGAAGCAGCAGTGCCAAAGCTTCTGTGAGGTAAGGGCGGCAGAGGTGCTGTCCACGTCGGCCCAAACCTGACCGTGCGTAAGTGGCGTCGTTGGTAGGAACGGGCATTCTCATTCTTCTGCAGCCTGGCGGTCAGCTTACTCCAGGGGTGTGCGTGTATGTGTATGCAAATTCATGCAAAAGAGTAAAAAAATTCTTGAGCCTTCCTAAAACCTAGCTACCCACTGCTTATGTTATTGGTTAACCAGACAGGAAAAAATAATTCTATATAGATGGAAGACTAGAAGCTTTTTAAAGGTACAAACTGTCCCCGCCCTCCCACCTTACATCCTGGCGATTCTATGAGTAGTTCTGCACGTGTCATTGAAATGCTCAAGCCGTTTGGGAGATGTGACCCTATATCACTGTGATCAGGGTTTCTCAGACATTTTCATCTTACTGTTTTCCCTCGGGGCTCCTCCCTGTGACCTGGGCAGAACACTGGCCCAGTTTTAACTGCATGGGGGGGAGGCGTCCTACTTCATCTATGCTATCAGTTTCATTATCTATCTCTCTACCTGCGTACCTACCTATCTATCATCTAGCCATCCAGTATCCTTATTAGCAGAACCCTGTCTAACATCGTCAACAGTGTGAGAGGCGGGGAGAGAGGCTTTGCTGCACTGTCTTCCCCAGGGTAGACGAGGGACACAGGCTCTGTACCAGTCTGGGTTCTGCTGAGGTGTTGCCGGAAAGACGTGGGGCCCAGCAGGCTGCCTGGTTCCAAAGACAGTGGCCTCAGAAGCCAAGAGAATCTGAAAGTCCTTGAGGGCCAGTGGAGAAGAAGCCACAGGAGTGCACCAGAGCAGTCGGGGAAGCCCAGGTGAGGGCTTGGGGAGTAGCCGGAAGAGGTGCCTCTTGACATCAGAATGAAATGATGTTATGGGGTATCTTTGAACAGAACCGGGGGCTAAAAGGGGCTCTCCTAGGGGATCCGGGGAAGCATGGTGGTCTCGTCTCCATCCACTGCTGCTACTGTGATCCTGTTGCCTGGGTTTCACTCTGGAGAGTACCCAGACCCTATCCTGAGAGGATGACTGTGGAATTGGGGTAATAAGGCTTCATCACTATATATTATGCATAAAATCTCTTCGTGATCTTATTTGGCCTTCTCGATTACCCTAGACTTAAGCAAGGCAGATAGTGAGCCCCCAGGGGTTCTGTGTGGAAGCCATGAGGACTGGGAAGTTGAGGCTGGTCAGGTGAGTGGCTCACCCAAGGGCCAACCCTCCAGGTGGAAGGGCTGGGTCTAAAGAGCTTGTGTTCTGATGCCACTTACTGAGTAAGTGTTGCTGCTGGTGGACTCCACATGGTCCATCACCAGGGGTCATAGTGTCATTGTGTAATTTCAGAAAAGTGGAATGATAGTGTTTCTCAGTCACTAAGGTGATCAATACATGATCGTCCTTGTCTCAGTTTTATTTTGCTCTGATAGTTCCTGCTCAGCATTCTGTGACTGGTGGAACATGGTTATTTGCAAACCTTTGTGTAGTCGTGCCTGTCGCTAGAAGCACTCAGGCCAGAGGATTCCTGTCAATGTCATCTTTGGAAACATTTTGTAATTGTGAACATTAAAATGCTTCAGATAATACACAGGACTTCTGGCTATTTAGCCAATTGCTCTGCGACTGACACCCATGGCTAGGATCATGATTTAGTGATAGATCAAATAGAAAAAGAACCTTCAAATGTCTTTTTGTATCCAGCATTTTCTAGATGCCAGGAATGGTATGGAGTTGTATAAATTGTGCTTTCTGCCATCCCTCAAGGGAACTGACATATTATCCATCTGTTTTATCAAAATCCAAACTTTTCCGGAAAACATGTGCACTAAGTGTAATGTGCCTTTGTGTTAGCTATCCATTGCTGCATAACAAATTATCCCTAAATCTAGTAGCTTAAAACAACACACCTTTCCAGCTCACAGCGTCTGTGGTCAGGAGTTGGGGCGCGGCTCACGGCAGCCTCTGCGTCAGGGTGTCACAGGCCGTAATCAAGGCGTCAGCTGGGCTGCATTCTAGTCCGGCGGCTCTGCCAGGCACAGAGCTGCTTCCAGGCTCATTGTGCTTGTTGGCAGGATTCCCTTCCTTGTGGTTGTAGGACAGAGGTTCTCTTGTTTTTGCTGGCCACTGGCCACAGTCCATGCTCAGCTCCTAGAGGCACCTGCAGTTCCTTGTCCTGTCCTCTTATGTACTGTTCCTGACATGGCTATGTGCTCCCTCGAGGCCAGCAGGAGAATCTCGCTTTCCAGTCTGCTAAGACACAGGCCTGGGTGTCACAGCCTGATCGCAGCAGTGCCGCCTTCCTTTGCTAAACACTATGAGCTAGGAGCAAGTCGCAGGTTCCCATCACCCACCGGCACGCACATAAGGGGGGTGATGGCACCAACATGTGAGTCCGTGGGAGTCACCAAGGCTGCCTACTGCGGAAAGCAAATCCAAAGTAGGGATCTGGGCCCCTTGAGACACAGATGAGCCAGCAGAAATAAAACAAAACCGACAAATTGATATGAAGACAAGGGGAGTGAGACCATCCGATGTCTTTTTCTGTATTCTGTAAATGATGTTCCTACTTTTACTTTTTAGAGAAGATTTACTCATTCATTTATTCAACATGAACTTTCTGAGTACGTACGGTGTGCCCTGCGGTTTGGTGGAGGGCGCTGCAATTTGCTTATGGCAGTAAACCAATGTGACAAAAATTCCTGCCTTGGTGGGGTTTATTTTCTCCTGGACGGAAGAAGATCTCAGCTGGGAATGAGGAGAACGTGACTCTGGTCCTAAGTTCAGAACCGGCTCACGACGTGTATGTGGGCAAATCGCTTAATTCGTGTCTTTAACTTCATTTTCAAAGAAGGGATTTATTCTATTTATCTTACACGGTGTTCTCATTAGAATAGGTAATGAATGTGAACGCACTATACGGAGCTTGTCAAGCTATAACGAAGTAACAGAATACATTTATTTATTTATTGTGTGTTATTGGCTTGTAGGTCACAGCTCTGCGAGGTGTCTCTGAATCAGCTATTCATTCTGAATTCTTACACGGATAATCTATATTGATGCAATTAGATCCGAGTGTCTAATTGAGTGACTTTTGCACTCCTACTTTTATTTTATATTCTATTCTGCACACAAAACATGCACCTGTGTGAACTAAAATATGTTTTTACAGAATTTTGAGGAAGAAGGTGTGCTGTGCTGTTTGTTTTATAAGTTTATTATCCCTAAATATCTGTTCCCCATTAGATTCCTAGTACCTAGAATGCCACTTGGGTTTATGAATCATATATATGGCTTCAACGGGCTAATCATTTCATTGGCATTTTTGGTAATTCCCATTAACAAAACGCAGGAAGGAGGAGAGGGAACCAAATGATAGTATAATCATGGTGTCCTGACCATCTCTGAGTCTCTAGGATTTTTTTGAATTTCTGGAATTATTTATGAGCCTGAAGATCTTGCAGCAAGATTCTGAAGTGCTGCTGACTCATACATGTCCCCATACAAAGTGACACATTTGTCTTCAAAACGAACAGAAGAACCAGGCCAAGAAGAAAGAAGCAAAGAAATCATTACTATAATTGAAAAAAGAGGGTATGCGCTCATAGAAAAGTGACTTCCCTAATAGGCAGGTTTCTAATTTTCTGCTAATTTTATATTGCTCATGATTAATGTCCATAATTTGCCGGGGAGTCAAATTAATTGCAATCACATCTAATAAAATAGTATTTATAATTGAGTTTTCAGCAAATTATAATTGCATTTCTAAGCATAAATCAGAAACATTTATGGTAAGAATTATTTTTCTTATTTCATGCATACTTAGTATTTACGTGCCTTCCTTGAAAGATATACTGGGCAGTTTTGCTTGATTTTATAAAAACATATGTTTTTATTTTTTAAACTATATATATCCATTAAAAAGTTACTATAACAAACTACACAGAAGAGAGAAGCCAAACCATTTCTCTAGATTTACCATTAGAAACAGCCATGGTTCACCATTCAGAAAAGATTTAATACAGAGGGTTGAGACTGCTCTCCTAATGCCTGCTTGAACAGCTGGCCCCAGGCTGGCATCTGGAAATGCTACACATGCGAGTTTTAAATAAATGCTTACAATTTAATATTATTTGAATTTAACGGAAGATGGAGACCCCCTCAAATTTTAGAAAAAAATTATGAAAAATATTATGAAGCTGAAATCATTATTTTTTGAATTCCATACTTATTTACTGATGTCTAAACATTGTTTGAGGTAAGTCACACTCATAGGTTTTCTCCATCATTCCTTCCAAATGCCAATTTTTCTAATTTCTTTTTATTTTTAGTTTTATTACATCAAATTCTCTTTGTTAACCATAATTCAAACATTATTTAATTTTAGTTTTGTATTTATGTGGATGGTAAGATGATTACTACTTCTTTTTAACCAGTTTATTTATTCTTGGTTTTCTAAATTTCATTAATATCTTTATTTTTAAAAAAAGGATTTGTGGATGGTGTTTCTTTTTTTTTTTTTTGAGTTTGTGCATGAGAGATTTTACCTACTGTTATATCTGAAGTATAATTTGGGTTGGACAAACATTTTTTCTTGTATAATATATAAGTGTTACTTTATTTTATTTGGGTACTGAATATCTACCCCATTTGTTGTTTCTTGTTTATCTATAGAATGGCTAGATTTTGCCATTGCATGGTACAGACACACACGCGCGCGCACACACACACACACACACACACACAGAGTTTATCTTTCTTAGAATTATATAGACAGTGTTCTAATGGCTTCACACATTAAATTTAACACAGAGAAATTTGAGGGTAGTAATATTTTCTCTCTCATAATAAACTTGCCTTTTTTACCTAGATGCCTGAAAAATTATATTAATAGTTTTACCCTTGCGGTTCAACAGCACGAGCTATATTCGCGTGTTGCTTGCCCTTTTCAATTATCCCTGGAACATAACCTGCCCTTTGGTTTACAAT